TCTCTCTCTCTCTCTCTCTCTCTCTCTCTCTCTCTCTCTCTCTCTCTCATGAACACCCACATCATAAACATTACTAAACTATAAAAATTCAACAAATTTATATGTATTCTAGAATCAATTTTAATCTCTTCGTGTGTGTCTCAATGGCAAAAACATCACTATCTTGTTCGAGCATTTCATCGAACATCTTACATGCGTCTTCCATGTTTCCGTCAATTCATCTGCTAACAATTCAAGAATATCACATGCCATCGTCTTTACTGTTGTAACGTAATCATTCACAAGACTTCTATAGAAACAAATCAAAACCAAGATTTCAGACCATACAGAGATAGAGAAAAAATGAGCTCCAATATTACACATTATTAATGGATTCTTACTGGAATTTTTCTGGGTGTTCTTGAAAAATGGAGATAATTAGATTTTTGTTATTAGAATCGAGTTTGGCGTTGAGAAGAAGATATTCAACCCAACCAAAATCATCGTTTTGGCCAAGACGTTTGTTCCCATAGCCGAAGAGATTGGGTGGTCCAACTTTTTGTTTGACAGAAAGAGGAGAGGAGAAGAACTAAACTGCTTCTGATTCAAAAAAGGATTCCAAAACATAGGTTCTGTTCGTTTTTGTATGCTTCTGTTAAGAATCGATAATTGCAGGGAAAGTTTGAAGAATAAGGGTTGTTGGCATGTTGTATAAGCGTGTATTTGTATCTCTCCATCTTGAGAGAATTCTGACGAACAAAGGTACCCCATTGCTGACGTGAATCAAGTCGATTCAGCCAACAAAGTGCTAAATTGGATGAAAAATCAAAGGGTTTTTACAAGGGGGTTTCATTGTAGAAGACGATGAACAGTATTTGCCTCAATCAGGTATGCTCAGACCTTGTACCTCACTAGCTTCGTCTTTTTCCATTTCTCTATTCTTCCATGGATTCAGAAAAAGAAGGAGAACGGTAATGAAATCGTTGTTGGTGGGTTTGGGTTGCAAAGAGGAAGAACAAGGGGAAGGGATTGTATGTTCTCGATTATATGTGTTAATGTGTGTATACATATACGTTCTTGATTGTGTATGTATGTTCTCTCTTAGGAGGAAAATAATCATTCATCAGATTTCATATATATGAGAGAGAGAGAGAGAGAGAGAGATTACTTAACTTTTTCAACCATCCAAAACTAGCCCAATCCAATATAAGTTGGTTTAGATTACTCCAATCCAACTAGCCCACATTCCAAACGGCAATAATACTCTACTAATAGAACGCAAAATCAATGTGCAATTTTTTTACCTAACTTTTTCAACCATCCAAAACTTACTTTCTTTCGCTGCTTTTACCGATAAACCATTACTATCTATGTTAAACAGCTAACCTATTCACAATCATATGATCCTATATCAAAAGAACTCTGGTCTAGCAGTATCAGGAGTTGAAGATAGAAGTCTAATTGTAGACGAAATGTATAGATTTAGGATTAATGGGTGCATGTGTGAGCCGTTTTAAAAAACATCATAACAAAAATTCTCATTTATGAAACAAAAATTAATCGATCTAATGTTTATAGAAAGAATAGAAGTAAAAATAAAATTTCATAAGAATTACAAGAAAAGAAAAAACAAAAAAGATTTTAATGTGGGGGTGAAAGTTCGTCGCTATTTTTACCTTTCCCCCGAAGCATATCAGTAAAACCACCTCGCATGATTCTCCTGAATCTTGTGTCTTCAACGGGTGATTGTGGGTTAATGACATTTTTCGGGTCGGGTGGTGGTGGTGGTGGGATTTCTCCTGAATCCTTCTTTCCTAAAAGTCCACCTTCACTGAAGAAACTTGTCATGGAGGTCGGGAGTCCAAATTGAGTCCCCATGACTTTGCTGAACGTGTCAAAAGTTCCACTCGATCTTTCCTTTACTATCACTTCTAACGCCTCTTTATGCGCTGGGTCGAGCGCTTCCGTGTCTTTCAATAGGTTTTGTATTGTTGGCAGGAGGAGATCGCGTACACTCGCTGATGAAAGATCTGCAAGGAGTGGAGGACATTTTTCGTAATTTTACTTTCATTTATTTATTTATTATAGTACATTGCTATTTCTGGTTGTTGAAAGAAGCAAACCTGTAGCATCGAGAGCACGGATAGCTTCACAAAATGCATTGGCTCTATCGCGGCGTCGCACCATGTTGGTTACAGGTAGTTGAGCTGAAGAAAGATGAAATATCTTTGATAATAAATGTGCTCTTTGTCAAAGAAAATTAAAAAAGTCATTTTGATAAATATAAATGTATAATTATAGATTAAAGGATATAATCTTTTAGGCTCTCAGTTGTGTGTGGTACAGCTACCACTAATGCACGAATAACAGCAATTGTAGCTTCATGAGATCCATCTTCAAGAAAAGCATCCATTTGAACACGTATTTTGTCAACAATCTACCAGAATATATATAAGTCAGAATATATAGTTTTGTCAAAAGTCAAAACTCATTTTACCAAATACTAATTAACTTACAACATCATTTTTGAAGTTTTGAGCTACAGTTCCAAAGGCATCAATGCTTGCATACAACACATGTAAGTTTGGTTCAGAGCCCAAAGTCACAAGAGCAGGCAAAACATGTGATGAAGCAACTTTAGCATCAATATAAGGCACCTATTCAAAATCAAAGAGATTAAAAAGGCAACATTAAAAAAAAAAAGTCAAAAAGAAATTGACTTACAATCACTTTCAGAAGCTTAGCAGCGTTAATTTTCAAATCCATGTTGGAGCTCACAACCATCTCCCATAAGATATTGAAAACCAGATTATGGTGTTCTTCAAACAAGCTGCAAAACAGAATAATGTAATCTAATCCAATTGCAAAAGTAATTTTGATTAAAAAAAAAAATAAGGAATACGCACCAAAGGAAACGGACAGAGTTGTACACGTCAGCACTGTGGATTGCTGACCGGGTCGTCTTGTCAGCACTTTGGATCAAGAGATTCCTTAAGTATTCAGTTAATAGTTCATGCTTGTTAGGGAATCCGAGGACACCTGCTAATAGAACTGGTAGGACACACAAGGTGGCAATTCTTGCATCCATAGCAATTATTGGTCTTAGAGCTGAAAAAATAAAAATATTTAGTATGGAATATTTTGTAAAAAAAAAAAGGAAAAAAAAAAGTTTGTACCTTTAATTTTTGGTTGGGATGTTGAGCGGAAGCATGACAAGTCAGCATTATCGCCAACAGCCACTAAGAATAGAGGAAGGATTATATGTGTTAAATAATCCTCCCCGAATCTTTTAGAAACTGCTAGTAAAAACTGAGATAAGGAAATAATGAAGATATAAGAGTTTGTGTAAGAAAATAGAAAAACTGAAAAAGTAAGGAAATTTATGTACACTTGAGATGCGTTTTCTCAAACTATCTTCCTTTTGTGGTAAGAGAGAGAGAATCTGAATCAGACTGGGAAAGCAATCATCATGAAGCCACTCAAATGTAGGCCAATCTAAACGTCCCCTGTAAAAAAATAAATAAATATAATTTAGAAAAGTTAAAGTGGGTGTTAATGATTTTAAATAAACAGGAGAGGGGTGTTGGAACTTGGAACTTACTCTGCATACTTTTGAAGCAATTGAAGTGAAAAAAATGTTCCTGTAGATTCTGAAAAAGACTCATATGAACAAGTGTCGATAGCTATTTGGTGTACAACTGGAAGCAATTGCATCAGTAACCGAAGCAACACATCAACAGTCCATCGTTCTCTTTCACCTAAAACATGGAAGTGTGACTCTACAGAATCTTCAACCCCTGAAACAGGTGGACAACACTGAAAACAAAATACCATGTAAGGGACTCTTTGTTTACACTCAAAAGATAGCAAGGATTAATTTAAGTGCTGAATATAAGAAATAGCAACGTCCTTTCTTTTCTGTGTATTACAACATTGAACATTCTACTTTCAATTCTTTTCTTATCTACTTTCATTTCGTGCTATTACAGCCTTGTTCTTCCTATTTTGTTCTTATTCACGCATTAACTTTGAAAAACTACCTAATTATGGCATTGTATTTTTTGATTTTTTTTTTTTCTAATTAAGACATTATACTTTAAAAAACCTACCCAAATATAGCAATACAAATTGATTTAGTATTCATACAAAATTGCTATTTTGCTATAAGTATGAAAAATTAACCTACTTTCATTTATTTGTGTATTCACTTATAATGACCTACTTTCATTTCTTTCTATTAGAACCTAGTACTTTCAATTTTTTTTCTTATTAGTTAGGGTTAATCTCATAAAATACCTTATATTTTATGTTTTTTCTGGATTAAACCTCATCTTTATTTTCTTCCTGAAAAAGACCTTGTATTTTTTCATTTTTTCCGAAAAAACCCTCAACTGTCTTTTTTCCGAAAAAAAAAACCCTCAACCTTCTAACTGTTTCCAAATAAACCCTCAATTTCTTGTTTTTCTCAAAAAAAAACCCTCACATTTTACAAGTTTTTTCGGAAAAAAAAGAGTAAATTACACGAATGGTCCCTATGGTTTAGGGTAATTTGCATGAATGGTCCCTAACTTATTTTTTTAACTCGGAAGGTCCCTACTGTTTGTTTTTCTTACGCACTTGGTCCCTGTCTTACCTAAAAAGACTATTTTGCCCTTGATTTTTTATTTTATTTAAATAAACACTCCCCAACCCCACCCTTCCCACCTTACCTTACCTACCCCACCATTTTTTCCTATTTAAATAATAGTCTTTTTAGGTAAGAGAGGGACCAAACGCGTAACAAAAACAAACAGTAGGGACCAAGCGCATAACAAAAACAAATGGTAGGGACTTTTCGAGTTAAAATAATAAGTTAGGGACCAAGCACGCAAATTACCCCAAACCATAGGGACCATTCGTGTAATTTACTCAAAAAAAATGACTAAAAGGGCCAGATCAGGAAAAATGAAAAAATGCAAGGTCGTTTTCAGGAAAAAGAGAAAGTTGAGGTTTAATCTGGAAAAAAAACATAATATAAGGTCTTTTATAAGATTAACCCTATTAGTTATTACAACACTGTACTTTGAAAAATCTACCTAATTATAATTTACAGCACTGTACTTCCAATTTTTTTCTTATTACAACAAAATACTTTAAAAAACCTACTCAATTATTTGTATTTGGATGACATTGCTATAACTGAATAGATTTTTCAAAGTAGAATGTTGTAATAGGAAGAAATGAAAGTATGATGCAATAATAAACAATAAAAAAATCAATGAAATGAAAGTATTTATTGGATTAAAGTTTACCTCTACAGAGCTCAACATGTGAGAAATCAAAACTCGTAGAATATGATCCAATTTGTTACCCCACTTGAGCACAGCAGGAACTAGCTCTTTAATAGTTGTATCCACAACAGCTCCCGATGGATCACAAACCAAATGGAACATCATTTCCTCCACCTAAAAACATAAAAACAAGAAAATATATCGGGAAAACAGAGTATCATATATTTTTTTTATTTTTTACAGTTTCGTTTTGTATTTTTCTTGAAAGTCACTCAGCATATTATGATCATGGGAAAATGGTGACATGACATTCCCTTAGACCATGTTATAGCTTACATTGTAGGAAATGGAAACCCTGTCAAGTCAGAAAGCTTTGTTTCTCCATGATAGCCTCTTGAATCATATTTAGTGAGGCTGAGGCTGATGCTGACCTTGATATATTTATCCATATTTGGGAAGAGTGGAAGCAGCAGAGCTAGATTTCTTGTAGCAGCCTCACGAACTACAGTGGCGGAATCCTCTATGAGCTGTTGCACAATAGATAGGATGAGGGAGTCTCGAATCTCTGGCCTCACAAATCCTGCAAGCTCCCCACATGATTGAGCTACAAGCAGCCTGCGTTCCTCATACATGTGACTAATCTGCATACAATTAAATAAAAATAAATAAATAAATCACAAAACTATAAAACAATAAAATGAAATCTTTTTATCCTCACTTGCTCCCAACATTGGGGAAGCAACTCTGTTTCTGTTCGCATCTCTCCAACATTCCTAGCAAGTGTGACACAGGCCTGAATTGAAAAGAAAATATGTTATATGTTATGATTTTAGTACTAAGAGAATATACTTATATAAAAAGGGTAAAGAATGTTGTGATTTTTTGAAATTTGTTAAGTGTTTGAAAAAAACATACATCCATAATAATTCGTCTTTGTTGTTCATCTGGGCGTTTAATCAAGTTAAACAATGTGTGTGTCAAGGAATCCCTTGTGTTGCTATCCGGGTGTCTCTCAATTGCACACATCATCAGGGGAAGAAGCTCCTATAAGCAAATAACAAACAATTAACCCAAGAAGATTTTTTTTTTTTTTTTTTTTTGAAATTTTATTATGAAGAAAAAGTAGGATGGATATAAGTAAAAAAAAGTAACCTCTCGATGATTGATTAGCACATAAGGAACGATTTTAGGCAATGCATCTGAAAGAATCTGAATAGTTCCAGGACCCTGAAAAGTTAAAATTTGCATACATAAAAAGATTACTTAAAAAACAAGTGGTAAATCCTGAAAGTTTGATGTCAAAACTCAAAAAGCGACCTTTTTAGAATCATGTTGAACAGAAGGAGTACTTGACTCTGGAGTCAACCCATTATCAGTTTTGACTTGCACATTGTCTTTAAGGAGATCCTTAGCCACATCATTATCATCTGATTTAGAAAATTCCTCATGTTTATCATCAGTGTTTTGATCTCTCACATTAATTGATGGTGATAATATCATGTCATTTTCACATAATTTTATAACTTCATCTTTCCTATTGGTTATTTCTTCAACATTATTTACAGGTGTGGTGTCATCAGATTTTGTAGCATGTAGTCTTTCAATCTCCTGTTGTAAAGATTGTATTTGTTCCTTGTAGCTTTCTTCATCTTCTACATCGCCAGGTGGCACATGTTCTGATTGAGCTGCAGCTGCTTCAGTTTGCTTTTGAAGTGAAGTTATTTCAGCCTTGTAGACAGTTATTTCTTTTCTTCTTTGTTCCAGTGAGTGCTTTACATCTTGAACCTGATTATCTTTCTCCTTGATATCCTTCTGCAAAGTCTCTAGTGACTTTTTTAGAGTTGCTATCTGTGAATCAACTAAATCTCTGCTTCTCAATAAGGTCTGTTTTTCATGTTTCAGCTTCTCGTTTTCTTTCACCAATGATTCATTCTCTTTTTGCATGGAAAGCTTCTCCTTAAAAAAATAAGGTGATATCATGTCATTTTCACATAATAGTAATGTTGTTTTTTTTAGTTATTGTTGTTTTGTTTTTTTTTTTATTTAAGCAGCACCCATGAACAATATATTCCACAAAGGGAGAATTTCATATATGCCCTTCTTAAACATCAAAATTTAATTTCTTAATATCATATTTACCCTTTATAAACCTTCAAAATACCATATTTGCTCAAATCTTTTTTTTTCCAATGTTTTTAATAGTTCATAATCATTTTTTTTATATCTTAGAGTTATTATAGTAATTAAAATTTTTAACCATATTATCCATACATCTATAATAACTGAACTTCTACTTCTAAATTGTTTGAATGTCGCTCTCTTGACAAACAAAACACTTCATCTTCAGCCCTCTACATGGAATGTATGCATTGATTGCTTAGTTTTTGATGTTGTTGAATATTGTCATATTGTAGATGGATTATATTTTAGATATTGCTATTGATATTTTGATGTTTAAGAAGGGCATATATGATATTTTGATATTAAAGAAGGGCATATACGATATTTTAAAGTTTTATGAAGGGTAAATACGATATTTAGAAATTAAGTTGGGCAAATATGATATTTGATGTTTAAGAAGGGCATATATTTGATATTTAAGAAGGGCATATATGATATTTTGATATTAAAGAAGGGCATGTACGATATTTTAAAGTTTTATGAAGGGTAAATACGATATTTAGAAATTAAGTTGGGCAAATATGATATTTTGATGTTTAATAAAGGTATATACAAAATTTTCCCTTTAACAAATACATGGGATGCAAGTTGTGTGAACATAAAGCAAAGTGCTTGAAGAATTAAATTACCTCAGCTGCTTCTGTAGTGGAAGAAAGGTACTGATAATAGTAATGGCGCAAGGCATCTGGCACAGATGCAGATGAATTCTCCCAATCATCTAGATTCTGGTCAGTAACCTGCAAAAAATCCAAAATCATATGTTGAATCTTTTTAATGTTAGCATTTATATTTCATCAGTACAATTAAAACATATGAGATATGAAGTAGCAAAAGTAATTAACCTCTTCATAAAAGGTCATGGCAGTTAAACGGTATCCTGCTAAGAGCAAATATTCCTTTACAGCACAGTTTAGGTCATGACGTTCTTCTGCCTTTAAAGGACCCAAATCTGAGAATTTTGTCTCCCCACTTTGTTGAATACTTGACCCGTTTTTTGCTTTAGCATCTGCATACATCATAAGTTACATCTTTTAAAAGAAAGTAATTTCAGAAAACAATAAACGTAAGGTTCTTTCATGAAAGCGGATAAAATTGATGTTTATCATTTACACTAAACACGGTTTTCTTATTCATTGGGGAAATGACTAATGTCATGGGTTCTTATAACAGCATTTGTAACACTACATAGAGGTATTTTACACACAAACAAGAAAACCCATCAAACTGAATGAAAATAGAAGAGGAATTAAGCATTTTACCACTTGGTTCATCTTGTTTGGCCTCAGATTTCTTTTGCAACTCAGTCTTGAGCTTCAAAATGTCTTCTTGAGCCAAACGGTTCTCATAGTCTCTGATTGCTAGTTTCTCCTCTAGTGCTTCTTTTTCCTCCAGCAGACTCTGTGGGTCGGCAACTAGTTCAAATAAATAAATAAAAAGTAACAAATAAGTCTCCAAAATGCATGTATTCACAAATATAAACTATATAGTTATCTTATACAAACAGGCTTATAGTACTATTTAAAGAAACAGGGCCCTAGTGGCTTAAAAACGATCAATTTCAGTCAAATTATTAGTGGCTAAATTGCAGCAGTTATACAGATGTTCTGTTCCAAGGATTAGACACATGTGTGACATAGCTATTGGATACTACTATACAATATTCATGGGTTTGGTGATGGAGAAATGAGCTACCAAATTGTTCTGTTGACCTACTCAGAAATTAATGTCCTAGAATTCTAGCTTCTTTTAAATTATGTTTATGATGTTACAAGAGAACCTATTTCTTTTCATGGTAGACACATGAAAATGACAAAACATGGGTTGTGTGAATAGAACCTATCTAACATATTTGCTAGTACTTTGTTAAAAATATGATATCTAACACTCCACTCTAGATGAAGTTAAAGTCTCTTACAACCTCGTTTTTCTTGTGATCTAGTCATTGGTAGGGTATATGCCACAAACTCCAATATCCTACCATATTCACAGCTAGTTCTGTATGTCAACAGAAAAACATCTAATGAACTGCATGCAATCTAATTTAGAAATACAAGTGTCTGATTAGTAACAGATACACTGATCCTCATACACTAGACTTACAGATGAAGCTTGTTCACTTTGTGAAATTTCATCAGCCAACAAGAGAATCATATTCTTGTAATTTTATGATTTCTAGGGTTCGGCTTTCATGAAATCACGCCATGAATCTCCTACACGAACACATAAACTAAATAACTCTACAGAAAAATCAAGTCGTTGATAGTTGAGATCAAACTCGGCTCTCATTATCAATGTCAATTGTCAAACTATAACAAGCCAAACTTAAGCGGACAACCAGCTCAACAGTCATACAACATGACCAGTGATTGTAAATATATGAAGTCTGTATGGATTTTCAAACCTAGTTCCCTGCGGATTCACATCACATCCTGCTCTCATTTCAAATTTCACTACTAATAATTTATAAGACAAAAATTCAGTCAATTAAGGACAATTATAACAATATATCAACAGTTTTAGCAAATAGGTCCAACCTCGAAGAGAATTAAACCGTGAGATCTGATCTGGTGGAAACTGAATGGGATCAGCAAAGAATTCCTTGAGGCGAATAGCTTGATCATCGCGTCCATCATCGAGGAGCTCGTGAAGCAGCTCAAACGCTGATAACAAGTAATTCTCCTCCAATAAGAAGTTTACCACGCAATTACACAGCGATGATTTCTCCACGTCCATTTTACTCTAATCAATCTATCGCAAGAACATTGAAATTTCAAAAATGTCTTTCGCTGTATCCGATTCGATGGGGAAAATTCTATGCATCTCAGGTTCATGAAATTTGAAGGTTTTGTTAAGATCTGTTCATGGAGTCCGAGCTCGAAGAGGAGTAAAAACTCGTTAGTCGCTGGAAGAAATTCTAAGGGGCGAAATTGTAAAATCTAAGGGTCGGGTTATTAGTTAAAACTTAACACTTAAAAGGGTAAGGGGCTGCTTGATTTAAGCTGACCGGGTCCGATCAGTGCTGACTGCTGACTCGGTCAGCAGTCGGATGTTTGGTAAATACAAATTAAAGCTGACTCGGTCAGCCAATTACTCTTACCCGGTAAGCCAAAAAAACTCTTCTGACTGGAAATTAGATACGCGTTTTCTTTTTTGCCTTTTGCCCTCACTCGCCTCCTTCGCCATTGCCATTACCCTAGACAAAAGCTACTCCCGTCTTCTCCTTCTCCATCGCCAAGACCTGCTGATCGCCTCCTTCCCCATCTTCTCCGGCGACGACGCAGCCCCTCTTCTCCGGCGACAACGCTCCGGCGACGACGCAGCCACTCTTCATCAGCGACGCACACACACAGGTAACTGCGTGATTTTTTTTTTGCTTTTTTTTATCTGAAATCACAACACCCTTCCTGTCTTTGTGATTTCAACAAGTAGTCCC